AGAGACTGGGGACTTCTGAACACACATTTTTCTCAAGTTAAAGAAATGGGAAATTTTAGCTGAAAAATCCAAGTATAAGTTGTGTCTGAATGTCTTAGTCATAGTTGAGGGAACATCCACTTATCTCACCAGCAAAGAAAACAACTGGGGCAGGTATTTTCTGGGGTGCTGCATATCTTCTAAGAAGCCAGGTGAGGCCACAGGAAGTCAGGCATGAGGGCCAGAGAAGGAGCTCACAGGACACACAGGAAGCAAAGAGACTGCTGGGTCACTGAAAGAGAGCATTCCTTCTGTATACACTTTCCTCAGAGTTTCCTGGGTGTGGGGACTGATGTTAGGCTCTGAGGGCACGACGACGCTTCAAACATTGTCCCCACCATTTTGAGAGGGGCAAGCTGACAGGATGAAAGGCTGCCAGGAAGTTGAAGAGGACAAGTCAAGAAAAAACAGTCCCTAGTGACCTGGAGGGTATGGCACAGTGGAAGAGCTAGACAGAGCTGGCCGACGGAGGGCAGATGGTAGAGGAAGGCAGGTGGGCACTCTCATTACAGAGGCGCCAACAGGAAGATGACAGGGACGGGATTGAGACTTCAAATCAAAAGGTTACATGGGAAAGAAGCTGAGGGTTGTGAGAGGACTGTAAAGTAATTTATTTATCTGAAAAATCTAAAAGCACATTCCCCTAAACCCCGCAATTTCATTTAGGGGACTCTAGCCTAGGAAAATAATCAGGAATGCAAGACCAGGGGAGGATAACAGACGAATTTTAACTATTTTACACACTTCAATGGAATGTAAAGTTTCCAATATAGCATATGTTTAGTAATTTTTAAACAACGATTTGTAGTACTGAAAGGGAGAAAAATCTACAAACTTCTATACATAAAATATCCGTAACATACAAAAAACACAGAAAATGACTTTAATGACCACAACAAGGGAATAAATAAGAAAATCAGGATATAACTATCCAAAGAGTCTTTGCAATAAATTGAAGAAATTAGTGAAAAGTATGTAATAATATGAAAAAAAAAACTCACCACTTTAGTGAGGAGAAAAAGGCCACAAACGTAATGTAGGCTATCATTACACTGTGTGAAAATATGCATAGAAAAACAGACTAAAAGCCAAACAGACACATCAAAGGCCATAACAGGGGTTGCGTTACAGATGGGATTTATGTGACTTTCTCGCCCCTACATTCTAACATTGCTGCAAAACAGCATGGCTTTACCACCACTTTTATTGATAAAAAGAAAAGAAATATACATGCCACAAAAGAAAAGCCAAAATGACACCACAGCAGACAAGGCTTCAGAGCAGCACAGGAGAACTGGAGAGGCAGCTCACTGCCTAGGCCCAGGCCCAGCCCCAGCAGACACCATAAGAGCCCAGCAGAGCAGCATAGCACCGGCCCAGCCTGGCGCCAAGACTCCCCACCTCACACAAGAGAGGGTTGGGAACAGATCATCTCTAAATTTTCTTCCAGGTTTCAAAATGTATGATTTTAAGTTGAAAAATGAGAGAACAGACAAGGGAAAGCAGGCATTTCTCTGGTTCCCACATGGCACATAGTATACGGGGGTGGGCAGGACATGGGAGTCTGTGGATTAAACACTAATGCCTACTGCACGCAACAGTACATGTTTAATGAAATATTACATGCCATCTCTGGTTTTAAAAGATGCTTACAAATTATTGGAAAGAAATACAGTACACGGCTCTCAAGTTATATCTAAGTAAAATAATAAAATAACAAAAACGGCTGGGCTTGGTGGCTCAGCTTGTAATCCCAGCACTTTGGGAGGCCGAGGCGAGAAGATTGCCTGAGCCCATGGGTTCAAGACCCACTCGGGCAACTTGGCAAGACCTCGTCTCTACAATAAAATTAGCTGGGTGTGGTAGCACGCACCTCTAGTTCCAATTACTTGGAAGGCTGAAGCAGAAGGATCGCCAGAGCCCAGCAGGTTGAGGCTGCAGTGGCCGGGAGCATGCCACTGCCCTCTAGGCTGGGTGACAGAGTGAGACTCCAACTCAAAAAAAACCAAAAAACAAAAAACGTTTAAGTGAAGCTGTGAGGTCACTTGAGTCACTGCCCCATAAGCTGCAGGTAATCACTTCTCCAGGAGTCATGAGATGAGCAGACATTGAGGGTGGGCAGAGATTATTAGACCAGAGTGCTATAGAAACCTCAGGCAGGAGAAAGACTGGATTGGGCCTTAAAGAAACTAATGTAGGCTATCATTACATTTCTTTTTGAGTTGATGAAAATGTTCTGAAATTAGAAAGTAGTGTCAGTTGCACAATCTTGTAAATGTACTAAAATATCACTGAATTGCACACTTTGAAAGGGTGAATTTTATGGTATGTGAATTACACAGTCATGAGTTACCTAGCAACAGGGATATGTTTTGGGAAGTGTCTCTAAGTGACTTTGTTGTGCAAACATCATAGAGTATGCTGACACAAATCTAGATGGCACAGCCTACTACACACCTGGGCTATGTAGTACAGCCACTGTCATATATGGGGTCCATTACTGACAGAAATGTTACACAGCATATGATTGTATCTCAACTAAAAAAAAAAAAAAAAGATGTGCCAGAAGTGACTAAATAGAACAGTGTGGCAAAAATCAAAGGTACAACTGACAAAAGTAATAAGGAAAAAGGTAGCTTGGAAACAAATGTCAAAGAACTCTGAACGTCAGGAAAGTATAACTGGAAATTATTCATAAGACTGTAAGGTAAACAAAGACTTACAGACAACAGAGTGAGTGAACAAATGCTTTGAGAAGAATGTCTGTTTCCCTGCTGGGAAATAAGCCTCGGGTAGGCAGTGGCCTGGTCCTGTTCACATGAAGAATACTCGAGTGTCTGCCAGGTAAGTTTATGAGTGAATGACTATTTTAAGGTTACTCTGGTTTTGTGTGAAAACAAGAGTAAGGAAGAAACAAGCTGGAGTCATCTGTGAGGCTGACTGCAATACAAATCAGTCTGGGCCTATGCAACATGACTGCAAAAACTAGGAACATTTACACAGAGAAGTGAGAAGGTGAGAAGAAGAGATTCTACAACAGTCTTTGCCCTCTGTCAATGATATGAAAGACACTTAATAGGTTTAAGTGAAAACATGATTTATAGTTTAGCTATATAAAGCTAAGCCTCTGAACAGACTCCACCAGTGCAAAAGAAAGCAAAGAAGAAAAAGAAGTGAAAGCAGAGTAAGCACCACAGAAAGAAGTGATGAGGTGGCCACTGTCTCTTTAAGAAGCTCCTTGGAGATACATAACTGTAGAAAGTCTAGTGAATACAACATTGATTGGGAATGAGGTAACCACAAACACCGCTGTCTCAAATGAAAAGGGATTCAAGATCTGACCCAGAAAACAAGCATCGTAACCACCAGATAAAATTTTAATGATAAACACAAGATGCTCTACATACAAGCAAGACTGAAGTATCTCATACTAAGCCATAAACGCTAAGGTTCTCTTAGAAAGAGGAGCCGCAAGGAGCCTCTCTGACCCGCAGATCAAGTTTCATCTTATCGATCCACAAAACTCTGCCATTGCTCTGCTTTGTGCTAGCATAATCTGTAATGTTGAGCAGACCTCAAGGGAACAGAGAGGCAGGGAAAGACCGGCATCTGGACGCATCACGGGCCTGCATTTCAGAGCGCCACATCCAGATAAGACATTCATAACTGGCTTCGAGATTAAAGTCTCCCTTTATTTTTTCTATGACTCTTTAGGTGCAATCTCAGCATTCTGACACACTAAATGGAGACCCCTTTAAACCAGAATGATATAAGTACCTTTCAGAGTTACCATCAGTCTCAGAATTAACGGGCAGAAAGGACTTTGCATATCAGGAGCTTTTGAGCCCACATTTTAGCAACGAGGTACAGAAGCCCAACATGCCCCGTTAACTGGATCAGCAGAATTCCAGCTTTCTCATTCACTAACCTTTCTAAAAACAGTAGTTCTACAGCTCTCCCAAGAAGGGAATTAACCTCTAAACTGCAGCTGGTAAAGGAGAAGCTAAAGGAAAGCATTCCTTCTGGGCATATCTTGTTTAATGCAAAAACAATTTCTCACAGGCATATGAAAAATGCCTTGTGCATACCACAAGATATGACAGTAATCTGACTGTTGAGATTTCAGTTCAAACAGTGCTCTATAAGGAATGCCACTTAAGGAAAGATTTTTCTTTAAAAAAAAGACTCACCTACTACTAGGTTTTAAAGTCCAAGGTTTGTTTGTGACTTCCCATAGCCAGGTCCTTCCTGGGATGGCTCACTCCAAAGCTGACCCAGACTCGGAAACGTAAGTGTTCTGGTCTCAATGCTATGGCACTAAGTACATCATCTCAGACTGCAGTTCAAGATACCTTCCTAATCCAAAATGAAAACTGATCTTCTCCTTATACATTAAAGAAATACATAAATGTAGCTCTGTGGTACACTTATGAAGACTTCATGATAGTGGTTTTTGGAACAGAAGTCAAAGGAATTTATGGAAGATAAAATTAAATTTCTTGGCCATGGAGGCAAATAAAAAGCCTATTTTAGGACAAGTTAAGTTGCAAATACGTACTACATTGTGGGGAAGGAAGATTATGTGTGGCCACAGCCCTTCCTCACAGTAAAGACTTCAGAACAAGAGAACAAGAACAGGACTTGTCTGTGCCAACACTTATTATTTTTGCTTGACCTTTTTATGTCTTCATAAAATACAAACCGTTTGTCTTAATGAAAACCTAGTATAATATGCCGCAAGAGTGATTTAAAAGCAAGGAAGTCACACTGAGACAATGGATGACAGATTCGCTCAACACCATGTGCTTCTCGCCAGCACTTGAGCAGAATCCCAGAGACTCTGCACCCAGCATGGCTGTAACACACACTCGAGGGAAGGACAGCTACTGGCACTCAGGGCGGGGCATGGAAGATGAAAGGCCTTCAGACGAAAAGCACTAAGGGAAAACGGCTTTGCTTACCCAGCAATGACAACGCCATCGTGAGAATGCACGTCACATAAAACCGCGTCGGGGATGTGCTCCAGCTCACTCACAGCGCCTTTGCGGTTCTGCGTAAGGAAAAGGGGATGCAGTTTATACTCTTCGTGGGACAGCCCAAAGACAAAGCATAAGCTTTCACCCATGTGCTGCAGGGATCCTCTAGGGTGTGTGCAGCACTGTACTCAAAGTTACCTGGACATTCAAAAGGACAAAGATGACAACTAGCACATTGAGCTATTAAGTGTGTACAAGTTGCCATAGACACCAAAGGCACAGGATAAGAGGGCATGGTGTGTGGGAGACATTGCCCACCCTTAATAAGATTACAGAATATAAAGGAAATGTGTTCACAAATCACCACAATCCGCAGTAGGC